CCTGAAGTTCCAGTTTATATAATGGAAATTCTCAGGTTTTAAAAGTGCGGCCATCAGGGAACAAACCTTATAAATTTAGAAGATATGCAGATTCTTTAGAAATTTGAAAGTATTAATTTTGAGGAAGGTGTAAACTCGAATTTTATTTTGTTATGAATTTGCTTTTTTGTAGCACAACTTGCGTTTGCTTTCCCTGAAATTTTTTCCTAACATTTTTTTTTTGGTTTCTGGACGTATCTAACCTTTATTTCACTCTTCTTTTGTTTTTTTTTTTTTTAATACAGTTCGATTTTGTTATCACTACCGTCCGATAATATATTATCGGACTGGTAATTATTATTATCGGACGGTTACGGGTAAATTTTTAGATTGTAATTAAGAACAAAGGCATGACGTCACAGCAATGTTTTAAACTTAAAAATAAAAAAGAAATCTAGATCAAAGGGTTCTTATCCACTCATTGTAGACTAAGAAGAGTACTTTAGGAAAAGTAACTGAAGACGAAGCAGAGGTGATGACATTAATATTTTACTTAACATCAAACGTGGATATTTTATTCAATAAAAACTAAAAATTAAAGGTGACTGTATATAAATATATCAGGTGTTGTGCTCAAATATGAATCCTTATGTTTCTGTAGTCTGCAGAACAAACAGACAAAGAAGTGAAACAATCTTCTTCATACAGCCAATCAGAGGTCAGTTAATAAACTTTGAAAAGTTTCATCAAATCAGAAAATATTAAAAACATTATTCAATAATTCGATTATAACGGTTATACTAGCGAATTACGGCAATATCGTTAATAAAGATTCATCAATCGTTTGCAAATTATGATACTTACTTTTCTACAGATGCCTGGTGTTCGTAGCAGTGCTCCGCCAAATTTTGCTTATTCTGTCAGTGCCGAACAGGTCTGTATATAGCTTCATTATTTCAGGTGTTTATGAATTTGATATCAATATATTTATATGATTTTACATATTAAGATATCAAAGGTTTGAACATGTTCAATATATTATCTCATAATTAGCACTCTATTTTAGTTTTTTATGATCAACTTGACGAAGAATTGTTTGATACTTTTGATTTGTTGTTACAATATTAAAACACATATACGTAAAACTTTCACGCCATGCTTGCAATATTTAGCATTATGGAGAATGGGTGATTTGTAATTATAGTATTAATAAATATGAGGTATATTCACACTTTCACGCCATACTTGCAATGTTTTAGAGCCGAATGGTGAGCGAAGTGACAAAGCAAAGGTCTCAGACACTACAACCTACTCGAACACCCCATGTAAGTAACAGTTTACTCGAGCAGTCCTTGTAACAGCCTACTCGGCACCCTTACATAACACTAAAACACTCCATGTTAGTAATCAGCTTACTCAAACACTCTATGTAAGTAACATCATATTCGAAAACTTTATCACTCCATAAAAGTAACAGCTTTTACTTAAACACTCGCACATACCATGTAAGTAACAGCCTTCTCGAACACTCCACATAAATTAGCGTGTTCTAACTTAAGAAACAGCCTTTTTCCAGCACTCCATGTAAGTAACAGCCTTCTCGAATACACTTCGGAACAGACGTTTTGAACACTAACTTACAGCCTACATGAACATTAATGGTCAAGATAATTCTGACGTCAGTTGATTTATCACGAGAACAAGCAAAATTTTGCGGGAGGCAGTCACGGAATTGACAAGGAATGAACACAGAACCCATGCCACGGCCCATATCAGTGGAATTCGTCGAATTAAATGTTGCATTCATAAAGAAAATTTTTCGAAGAAGTTTTAATAAGTTTTGCCAAATATTGTGGCAAACATGTACAATGGTGTCTACTTTTGCAACATGAACAGCTGCACTACAAATCATGATATATTTTTAATTATAGCTTCTTTCAACGTTGACCGGTCACGATAGCCTAGTGATCGCTTTGTGATCGGGAGGCCCGGGTTCGATTCTCGTTCGCGGCTCAGCGTCAAACCTAAGACGTAAAGATAATGTAGGTAATGATTGTTTCTTCGCTAAGCGCTCGGCACTAGAAGTGAAAGTCATGGGTCTTTCGGATATGACCTTAAAAACGTAGGTCCCGTGTCAAGGTAGGCGTTGGCACGATAAAGAACCCTCACTGCTCAATGGCCCTGAGTGCCGAATGTAGGTCTAAATTTGAAGCCCTTCACTGGTAAACAGTGACGTCTCCATATGAGTGAAAAATTCTCGAGTGGGACTTTAAACAATATACAATCAATCAATCGTTCAACGTTGATAAATATTTGCTATAATATATTTATAATTCTAAAATTTATAATTGTAAAAAAAATACAGAAATATATATTTACTTTTACTCTTTTTTCTAGTCGCCTACTGAAGAAAGTAACAAACCACGATCCGCCACTGTGATGATAGAATCAGCTGTAAGTTCATCCTCACGCCGATTTCTTTTATATTAAATTGCTTGAGTAGAAAACTAAGCTATCATTGATGTTTTATAGACATTACCCCGAAATGAAAGAACAATGGATACCGAAGTGGAAAGGGAGCCAACTAAGGTTTACATATTTATTCAGATAGACTGATTTTTAGTGCTCAAAAAACCTACTTAAAATGAAGACCATTTATTTTATTACATGTTACAGAAAAAGAGAAGCTCAATAATGAAGACATTATCGTTTAGAAAATCTTCCAAAGTTCTGGTAAGCTACAGCTGTATATCATAGAGATGTGAAAGTCATATTTCTTCTTAATAGTCCCAATGGACTTATAATTATTTGAAAAAAAGGATAATTTGTTTCCTTTTCCTCCAAAATATATTTCTCTTGAACAAGATAATTACATTTACATTATATACATTAGATTTTTGCAAAAGTTGAAAATATTTTTTGGGGGTAAAGATAGCTTTGAAAATGTGGCATATTAAATATTTTTGTTGTGCTTTTATTTTCCATTAGGAGACGAGTGAGCAACAAGACTCATCTATAGCTATTTCAAGTCAACAGCTTGAAGAAGTGATAATGGAAGAGGAGGTAAGTTTCAAGAGACTGTTACATACGCAAACATAAACTGATTGAAATTAACAAGATTCCAGATACTTTAGAATCTATAGATTATTGAACATAAATTACGCAGTATAAATTTACCGATACGGAACCACTGCTCCATGCACAGGAGAGTGAATTGAGGGGTTGTTGTATATAAATTCTGTAATGAAATGAGCTAAAATTTGATCACGGCTTTTACGAAAAACAATTGGATTACCTATAAACACTTGATTTTGCTTGATGAGGCCACAAGTGTTTTTAGTGCGTATTTAAACACATACATCGTAGATGAACACTTTTGCTGAGAATAGATATATCAAGGTTTTATAAAATTATAATGATTAATACTTTCGTTACTGGTGGAACGGATTTATTCAACTCTAATTACTCAAAAATAAACCCCAAAACAACCAAGCTTCATGGCCAACGAGATGGCTTCAACTTTTCCATCATCAAATTTCCTTTATGTATATTATAATATTTAACCAAAATTGCATACGGGGTTATTGCCTCCTAACTTTTTAGATATTCAAAAGCAAATTTTGTATTAGAACAATCAACTCTAAAATCGAGACAGGCAACTTACAAATAAGTTTATGGTACAGAAATCTACAAAAAAAAACTCTTTTAAAGTCAGTATTTCTAAATTCTTGTGATTGTTAAGTTGTACTTGCTTACAAATACAACTTTAATCGTATTGTTGTGACATCTCGACAGCTGATGCTTACTCAACATCATTTTATTTATAAGACTTATTAGCACAAGCATGTTAAACTCTACCAACAATTTGTTTTTAAGAGAGAGAACTAATCTTTGAAATATACACCTTCAGTGACAACTCACAACCTTTCTCTTTAGCTGAGAGAGAAAAGTTTTAATAAATATAAGTTTTGTAATAATGAATTTTGTTTGAAATTTACTGTTTGTTACGACACGTTATTTTCATTGAAGAGTCGATATGAAGAACCCTTTGATGCCGAGGAGTCCTCTAGTGTATTCCTTGAAGAGAAAATCCCGGAGAGTGAGGTAGGAATAATCATCAGCTATACAACATAACCTTTAGTTATAAATTATAATAGAATACTTTTTGCCAATAAATGAGAAGTTTTCATTAGAGAAAATGCTCTCTCCTTAAATAATATATAATAAAGGAGACGATGATCCTACCTATTACTGAAAATCACTTGATCAGCAATACCGTGACTTAAATTAAAAAAAACAACAACTTTGTTTTCGATTATCTATCCCAGAATAGCAAAATTAGTCGCCCGCTTATGCAGTGGTTAGAGCGTCTGCTATAGAGTCGTGAAGTAAGGAGTTGATCCTTACGTCGAGGGTTCGAATTCCACTTTGGGACGTAGAGACCGGTCCCTTGGATGAGATGGTATAACGGAGGTCCCGTGACGCAGTAGGTACACACACGAAAAAGATTCCTCACTGCTCAACAGCCATGAGTGCCGAGTATGGGACAAAATTGTGGCTCTCCACCGGCAAGAGGTGGTGTCTCCATACGCGAGGGATGTTAAATAACAGAACAACCAACTATAATGGCAAAGCGTCAGAACAGAGACATATATATGTCTCTGGTCAGAAGCAACAGTTCACATCACCAGGAGAGAGAGAGAGATCTTAATATTAGCCTCCTTACGATTGACTTTCAAGAGTGGGGAGATAATTATAAATACACTTATCCATGGAGGGAGGAGAAAATTTGTTTAAGGATGATTTATTTATGTACTTCAATACAGAAAAAGGGGTTCAATGGAAAAGAATTTGATAATATAATTTATAAATTTTTACCAGGCACAGAGAGAAGAAAGGAGGAGGCAGTTAGAGAGTGTGTTCCAGGACATGGAATCAGAGGAGGAGGTAACTGAAATCATCGTCAGTAAACAGTTTACATACAATACATGCTCCCTTATTCACATGGAACACAATTCTTACCTTAACGAAAATGTCTTATGAATGAAAAAAAGGTGATAAAATAAAAATACTATATTATAGGAGGAAGAAAAACCAAAGACAAAAATGCAACAAAAGATAATCAAAGCAATTAAAAGGAAGGGCAAGGTAGGTATTGCCATTTTTTCTGGTGGTGAAGTCACGATATCTTATCAAATATGATAGAAATATATTTTTAAAAAAGTATATTTTATTACTTTCCTATGTCTGTTCTACAAACAGAAAAAGAAGTCAGACTCAGATGTACCTGAGATGTTTCCTTTGATGGAACAAGGTCAGACAGCTGAAAGTGAAGAAGTCAAGGTGGGTAAAAAAAGAGAAACAATTTAATTCAACTTCATTGTTGTGATGTTTTTTTTTTAAAAAAAAGTAAATGCATGTGAAAGTAATGCAAAATATAAATTTCTATTTACAAATTACTCAATTTCTTTTGAGATTTCATTGAAAAATCCAAATAGAATTAACAAAGACAAGTTATTTTTCTTTCAGAAAAAGAATACCTCTACAAAAATAGCGGTGGTGAAAGGTCAATTAGGAGAGTTAAAAGATATTGCTCAAAATAATGTCGACAAGTTGTATGAAAGAGAAGAAAATCTTGATGATCTGGAGAATCGAGCTGATGAACTAGCTCAAAAGGTAAAGGGATAGAGAGAGAGAGAAAAAAAGAGATTCTAAGACTTACTGGAATAAAAAGATAATCAATTTAATAGATAGATCAAAGTATATTTCGAAACATGTTGGATGCGAGCAATGTCGTATACAGATTTGTTTAATCTCCAAGAGGATTTCCTTGTTGGGTTTACTGTTTTTCCTTAAGATTAAAGAGTAGATGTTTAACTTTCAAACAAATTTAAAATAAGAATCTTCATTTTTACATGATAACATAGGAACATACATGTACGAGGGGTGATCAAAGAGTTCGAAAACTAATTGAATAACTTCCATACAAGAAACAATATTTGGTTTTAATGTTATTTTAAATTAATCCTCCCCGATTTTAATGCACATCAACCACCGTTCTGCTGCACATGCGCGAATAACGTGATATTGGCGGTCACAAGTGAAAAGTCTAGAATTTTCTTGATAAACTCCGCCCATCGTCCAAAGCTCCGTAGCGTTCTGTCACAAAAGTTAAAAGATTTTTCCGAGTTTTATATTTCTTTCCATGTGAGTTAATTTTTATGACAAGAACAGTTAATTTGTCAGAAATATTTCGGCAACAGAATGGGTGGATAATAACATCCTTTCCAAAAATAAGCATGGCGACCATTAAAACCCAAATCTTCTGTCTCAGGAGAGACCTTTATTCAAGGTAGATAGAGAATGGGTGCATCCTTTTTATCATATCTAATATGTTTAAAATCTAAAGTAAACGATATCTTAGGTATTTAATACTTATATCATTGTTCAAATATTCAACTATTTTTCAAAGTGCTAATTGGAGGTCTTTGATAGCAAATTGCTTAATTAAAAATACTAGTACATATCTTTTCAAACTTGCTTTCACTGGGCAAGATGACAAGTATCATTTTTAACCATCAGCCTTCCTTCACTAAAACGATTAATCCAATCATTAATTGAATTTATAGGAACTCATTTATCTCAATAAACTGTGTACAAATTATTATATGATACTGTAGAGGGATTTCTAAGATATTACAATAAATTGTACAGTCGTTTGTTGAACGAGTTCGACTGAGACAACCATTTTTCGTCACAAGTGACCTAAATAGTGACGTCATTTTCACATTGTGACGTCACAAACAAGGAGAGAAACTTTATTCAGCATATGCTATTTATAGACCTTGTGTATGGCTATGTGTGTACCGAATTTCATTCTAATCTGAATTGTGGTTTTGTAGATATAGAGATAGTTTGCGAACTTTTTGATCACCCCTCGTATATGGAAAAGAAATCTTGAAAAATATATTGTAAAAGAGCAGCCATATTGATATACAATCCTCCTCAAGTAAGGAAAATTTGTTTAAAGCATGTTGCTCTGTGTATTTCCAAGGCTACAATATCAGTATCAAAACCTTGTTATTAGTGTAATAATCCATGGGCTTCTTGTTTGGCCATTAACTGAGAGTTCAATTCCTGATAGAGCTTTTATTTCAAGGTCATATGGTGGTCCAGAACACCATTTTATGAATTCAGTGGAGAAAAATGTAGTTCGATGTGGATTTGTTGACGTTGTTCTTATTTTGGCAGTTCGTTTTTCTTCCTCATTCCAATAAAGAAAAAAGATTTATTTTTCTGTAATATCATACTGAAAGAATGTGCATTACATTTTTGCCGCACTTATGTGCATATATAAATATGATAAACTTTAATTTGACGTAGAGATAAACAAGTGTATTGTATTAAATTTCGTCCTGCTTCTCTTCAACGTAACGGATAAGGAAAAGTTTTTAAGTTAAATATATAAAATCAACTTTAAATCCGTATTTGATAGGTTCAGTACTGAAACAGTTTGTAAGCATTGAGAATAACACCTTAATAATCCCGGTAAGCAGATTGACAACACCTTCTCATTTACCTTTTTCTTTCAGGCAACATTGTTTAACGAGATATCAGTTGAAGTAAGAACCCAAATGGAGACGTGTAGCAAGAGGACCAAAAGAATCATCATCGGTGTTATCATCGCTATCCTTGTCCTCATTGTCATCATACTCATCGCTGTTGTGGCTAACAAGTCTGAGACAGAGGTCCGCACCGTTCACGTTTTCCCTGGTGTTAACGGGACTGTTCAGTATAAACCTTCACCCGGTTAAATCAAGATCTTTACAGTGTGTTTTAAAGAATAAAGCTATCATGTTTATTTTAAAAGCAAAGATAGAAAATGCTAGAGGGCCAGAAATGTCACAGATTTTACTTTATTATTAAGTGCATTTTTAAGGTACTTACTTATGCCTCATAGTTGTAATATTATTTATAAAATAACTAAAATACGGCACATTTGAATATTTATTTATAAATAAATGTTTTAAAGACGATATGATAAATCGCGCATAATATTTTCATGATTGTGGTTGTTATTGATTTATTAATCACATGTCTTAGATAAAATAACAGCAAAGCTGCATTCCTAATCCCAACTGCATACATTTAATGAATTTTGACAGTATTAATAAAGGCGGATGTGCAATTTCTTTTTTTTCTAATTTCTGGTATATTTTTTTCATTTTATGCATCTTTTTTTCTTGCTTCACCAACCAATAAATCTTTAGAATTCAACCACCAAGATGTAATATATTTCATACAGATATACATGTATGATAGCTTTACCTGAGTTTGTTTGTGTGCATTGCCAAGATGACTATATGTATTTCTATATATATTTACTACATGCATTATAATTATGCTTTTAATATATTGTACAACATTTGTAATAAGTCTGTGATATCTCAAAAGGATTTGGAAAAAAATGTGATTGTTGTCTGAGGTTGTTGTTGAAAAATATTATTATTTTGTAGTATTTTAGTATTGTATAAGCAGACGCTGTTAATATTTATTAATTTCTTCAAGCATATTTCGCTTAAACCAATTTTTTTTCAATTCGTTAAAATCTACTAAAATTTTAAGATTTCAAAATGATTTGATTTATATTCAGTGCTTTATGTACATGTTGTTTTGAAATCCTAGTCATTTATATAATTATGAAGTAATATATATAATGTATATTATAATATATAAAAGTAGACATTTTAGTAGCACTTTGTCTGTATTGTATTTACTGCTATACTAATTCTTAGTTAATATCTCCTATCCCGTTCTTTAGTGTTGTAAGTATGCAAAAAGCATGCATAAATTGTGAAATGGTTGTTTGAATTTTGTTAAGTAGGTCTTTAAAAGGTTGAAATTAAATCATATGGGAGCATTTTACCACTGTTCTTTTTTTATTTACATTGTACAACAATTTACCTGTACATTTGCAGTTGAGTAAGACTTGCTAATTAAATAAATAAAAAGTATTTTACGCGTACTTATTTATTATTAGTCTTTGGTATTTTATCTATAGGTGTCGGAACTGGGGGGCTAAGCCCCTCCCCCTTTTTTTGCAAAAATAGACATTATTATAGGCATTGGAACTTGGCATTAGCCCCCCCTTTCAATTTCCTTCCGACGCTCATGTTATCTACATTCAGTGTTATTTAACATTTGCATTAAAAGTTAAAGTTTAAAGTTAAATTCATCCAAATGTTATCTCAATAACAATCTAATTAAAATTATACCATTCATTTTGCTCTTCGTTAATTGATTTGTCGCTCGTGAAAGCAGCGACAAAGTGCTCTTCAGCTTAATACTGGGCATCAAAGAGCAACGGCATGGTCAAATTTGCATGAACTCACGCGCATGCACGTGCGCTTTGCTCTGATTGGCTGAAACAGAAATCTCAATATCTTTTTTGTTTTATGATGAAATGCTTTGAAATTTATAACATAGACATGCATTAGGATGTACTACAATATGATATATAAACATTTTCATGAAATCACGCGCATGCGCGTGCGCTGCAATCTGATTGGCTGAAACTTTAAATGAGTATAACTCCCTTGGTTTTCAACCAAACAGCATGGGATTTATAACATAGATAAACGTAAAAGACTCCTACAAGACGGTATAGTCACCATTCACATGCATGCACGTGCGTGCACGTGCGCTTTGCTCTGATTGGCTGAAACAAAAATCTCAATATCTTTTCTGTTTTTTTACAAAATGCTTCGAAATTAAAAACATAAGCATACTTTAAGATGTCCTACAATTTGATATATAATAATTGTCATGAAAATACGCGCATGCACGTGCGCTGCAATCTGATTGGCTTAAACTTTAAATGGCTATAACTCCCTTGTTTTTCAACCAAACAGGATGGGATTAAGAACATAGACATACATAATGGACTCCTACAAGAAGGTATGGTCATCATGCACGTGCGTGCACGTGCAAATGAGTAAAATAGTGTAGACAAGATGATATCGTCATAACGCTCATGCAATCACATGCGCACGCCTGCATTGCTTAAATTTGAAATACTTGGTATACTTTTGGGAAAACGTTGTTTACGTCTTAAATGCATAGATTTTGCCTTCTTTAATGAAACTTACAGGGAATATGGCACGAGAAGGGAGTTGGGGAGCGTTTGGGGAACATCTGTAACGGTTCCCGTTACAATTAGCACTAGTTAAGGTCTTCCGTCTTCACGGAAGACCTTATAGTTATTCTATTGTTTCTTATTAAGGTCTTCCGTCTCCAACGGAAGACCTTATTGTTTTCGTTCGGTTTCTTTTTCCCTATTATTATTTTTCTTACCGATTTTGTGCACGCGATTTCTCGGAAACTGCTCGCTGGATTTTCACCAAACTTTCAGATCTGATAGATATTCATCTGAACCTTGTCGGAAATTTCTGTCGTTGATGACGTCACTTCCGGTCGTGAGATATGGACCATTTTCTGATTTTTAGAGGGTCGGCTTGTCCTGAGATCTCCTCCTAAACAACTGAAGATATCGACTTGAGATTTTCAGTGAAGGTAGAGGAAGGATAGTAGATGTGACATTTTGCATATAGAGCTTTCCAGGTGAAAAGGCATCGACGCTCGCCTGGGCTCGAAAAATAGGCTCATACGCATCTCGCAAAAATTGATATGTTTTCTGTTATATCTTTTTACTGGTTAATATTTTGTTAAGACATATATAATAAAAAATGTGCAATATAGTAATACTTTTCATTTGGTATGAAGAAAATGGGGTTAGCCCTTCAAATTAGGGGCAAAGAGGGGCAAAAAGTCTCTCGTCTTTAACTCTTTAATGATCAATATTTTGTGATACATTACTGAAGCAAAGATATTCAACTTAACAATTTGCAACAATATATACTAAAAAATTGATCATAAGATACTTAATAAAGGGTCACAAGGGGCTAGAATGCTAAATCTTTGACGCTTTATATCTCAAAAAGCGTGAATATTTTGATAAGCAATATTTAACAAAAGATGGTCAAAATAATGTACCCAACAATATGCATACTTTTAATTTGTTCATTTTTTCCGTCGACACTTCCGTTGTAAACCGGAAGTACATGTAATTTGAATACATGTACATGTACAGCTGTATAGCGATTTTTTTTTTCATTTTCTAATGAATGTAATTGTTCATTATAGAGATTTAAAGAATTTCTAGCATCTTAATATTTCCACCGTAAGTACGGTTCGTTCAAACCGGAAGTTGTCTAAAAATGAGTATTTTCCATCGAAACTTTCAGGGATGATTACTGCTTGCTTGGTGTAGAGTTGAAAGTAGTTTTGAGCACATACAGTCGCACCGGAAGTGATAAAGTAGAACCGGAAGTTGATTGGAATTGATAGATCCTACATTTTATTTGTGTTTCTAAACATATCTTGAAGAATTCTTGTGCCTTTTTGACATTTTTTATCCTATCAGTGGAACAATCCCAACACAGGTCTTATTCCATCAGATATTGGACGGAAGACCTACTCGTTGCTTGCAACGAGATCGCATCTAGTTATTATTATTAAGGTCTTCCGTCTTCAGCGGAAGACCTTCTTGTTATTCTTAGGTTTCTTTTCCACTATTTTTATTAAGGTCTTCCGTCTTCAGCGGAAGACCTTCTTGTTATTCTTAGGTTTCTTTTCCACTATTTTTATTATTATTATTATTATTGTTTTTTTTTCTTACCGATTTTGTGCACGCGATTTCTCGAAAACGGCTGGATAGATTTTCATGAAACTTTCAGGACTGATAGAACATCGAACAAACCTGATATATAATTTTTTGTTTTGATGACGTCACTTCCGGTTTTGAGATTTCCGCGCTTTAGTGATTTTCAAGGGGTCTCATTGTCCATCATTTTTCTCGAAAATGCCTTAAGACAGAAACATGAGATTTTCAGCGATGATAGAGCAAGGTGTGCTCTTTTGTCACACACCACTCTCTTTCTCCGGAAGTGCGGCTCGTCGGCGCTCGCTATGGGCCGAAAAAAGTCCTATCGCGAATTTCCAATTTTTTGACACCTTTTCTACGACATCTTTTTACCTAGAAATATTTTGTTAAAACATGTAGAACAAAAAAAGTATAGAATTCCGAGATCTTTCAACTGATACCTCGGAAAAAGGGCTGGCCCCTTAAATTAGGGGCTGAGAGGGGCCGAATGTTTTTTCTTTATATCTCAAAAAGTATTTAGAATTTGTAATACGTCAAAGAAGCAAAGTTGTTCAAAATTTCAAGCTTAATCTATTGAAGTCGTCAAAATACGTCCGGCGACGTCACTTCCGGCCAAACCGGAAGTAGTCGGAAAACACGTTTTTTTGCCGTTCTCAACAAGATTTTGGGTTACATTTGTCTCTGGGAGCATAAAAAGTAATTTTTCCGTCCGTCGTCGTCACTTCCGGTTAAACCGGAAGTAGCAAAAAATGGCTTTCTTTGAAGGTTTTGATGCAAAATTGTAATTATAAAGTCACTGGAAACTACTTAGCTCATTCAAAAAATAATACTACACTCTTATATTGGGGTGCACCTGCATTCACGTATTTACATGTATCATGGATTATAAGTGTTTCTCGGTCCAAGTATATGACATATTTGTGACTACTTAATTTAAGTGGGATTGATTTCTATATTCATGTACAGTGTATTTATTCTATTCCTGTTACAAGTAGATGATTTAAGTATGTATTATGCTATATACAGTGAGTACAGGGTGTTTGTACATGAGAAAATTTTGACTTTTATTATACTGTCACAATCATTTTCCTTTTGGGGTATTTGACAATTACCTTGCATATTTTCACTATTAAAATCTACATTCCTGTTATAAATTAATGAGTTGTAATTATAATTACATTAAAACGTCGAATCAATCTATTATACAATTTTTAATTACTGTAGACGTCATTTTTTCTGCGGGGTCATAATTCCGCGGAATTTCAATTTCTGTTTAATCCGCGGTTAGAAAATTACACGGATTTTCTTGACTGTC